TTCTCCAGCTCCTGCAGCTCCGCTCTGGCTCGATCCCGGATGGCGTTGGGCGGGCCCATGCCCAGGATGGCCTCGCCGAGCGCGCGAGCGCGCCGCCGGATGTGTCCGGTGCAACCGGAGCGAACGAAACCCGCGCGGAGTCGTGGTCAAAACCGATCGGTGCTCAAAACGGAGGCGGAGAGGAGACCATTTGTGGCCGGGATGATCCCTCTGACCTTCATCTACCAAAAATTTGGGCTGGCTTTTGGTTCTAGCTTGCATACTCCTCTACAAATTAACATAGAATGCAAAAGGGGGCGTCCCAGAACCCCAAAAGGAGTTTCCTCTGGGGTTCCATGTTGTTAATCTTGGGAGTATAAAGGTTGCAGGCCTTGTGGCCACAACCCCATGAAGCCATGTAGAACCATCTACATTAATGGCTGGGTTTGGACGCTCATTTTTGGATAGCCTTGGGTTTCCCTTCCCAACTAACATGGCCCACAAGGGTCCCTTTGCAGGAAAATGGTCGAAGGAACTCTGGCTCCCCAAAAGGACATAGGAAAATTTAGGCTCGTGTTCTGGTTGTTGTGGGGATCCATCCACATTACACGAAACCCACTTTTGCTGCCTTTGATCCGATTCCAGCAACCCTGCCTGGAATCCGGCGCCCTGCAGGATATCCATGCCTTGAGCGAAAAGGAAAACATGGCATGGAACCTGAAATCGGTTGCGCCTTCCTGTTGGGTGCATCCAATTGTACCAAGGGCAATTGTGCAGGTCTTGTTTCACTACACGCAAGATCCACATGTGGAACTTCTGAGATCCTCTGTCGTTTCCCCCATAGAGTGGGGTTGGGGCTCCCATTGGAACCAAGGGAAGATGCCCGTTCCATGGATCCTTCCTACAAACCTCAGACGGCAAAGGTCTGGTGCCGGCCCCGTTCACTGAAGGTTGCATTGGAAACCAGGCGAGGCGTCGGGTGGGTGACCGGGTGGATCCTCTGAACTTGGGCTCAACAACGACAGCACGTTTGCTTGTGGTATTTTGTTTGGTTGCCAAACAGGTGGTCAACAATCCACCCAGCCTGGAGCAGGCTCCAGCCTAGTTTTCAGACACATTTCAGGTTTGGTTAATCGGCGCCAGGGAGCTGGCTTCCTGCACCAGCCACACGGGCTGCTGCTGCACCGACAGCGGGCCCACATCCAGGCGGTCGATGCCGTCCCGGCACAGCGTGTCCCCACTGCCGTAGCTCACCAGCTGCAACAGAGACCCCTCCTCGAGTGCGGGCTACCGAGTCTCAGGGCTCCGACGCTTTTTTTAAGCCTGTCATCCAGCACAAAACGAAGCTCACTTTGGATGGGCGTGTCTTTTGGATGTGGGTGTGGCATTCTTTGAGGGTGCTCCCCGTTTTTGTGGCTGAAAAACGAAACACGCACGGAACGCCGCCATTGGTCCAACCCAACAAAGTAGAAACATCACCAGCTTTCCGACGGGGCTGTCTCTATCTAAGTTCAAGCCTGCGAGCCCCGGAGTTGGAGCTCCAACTCAAATTTGCACCCAAGCTGAAGATGGAACCCATAATCACGAACTTCCATTGCTGTTTCGTGCCCTAAAATAGTTTCGACAATACTTCATGTAGATTCCTTTGAAACAAGAAGAAAACAAGAAGAAAAAACAAAAAAATAAAATAGCCTTTTCAGCAAGTGGAAGTAGAACTGTCCGGAGTCTCCTTTTGCCGGACCCCAGGTTGGGGTAGGACGAAAAACAAAAAGCGCAGGGTACTACTCCAAAGACCCAGGAGAGATTGGCAGCCAACGGAAACCAGGTTTGTGTCTGAGGGAAGCCTCTGAACAATTGCTTTATAAAGGGTCTCCCCTGAAAAATATAGCCACGAGACAGGGACCAACAAAAACGAGGTTTGCTTGGTGATGATCTCAAGCTCAGAGCCGGCCTATGTTCGATCCTGAAGGCCCGTTCAAAGGGGGGCTCGCTTCACCCACTTGGCTCGTCAGGCTTCTCTCGCATGGTTTTCGTGCAGCATGATCATCCAAACAAAGCCCTTGAGCCATTGTGACTTGATGATACACCCAAATTTCCTTCAAGATCAAAGCCTATAGGAAGACGGGCAGCAAGTGTTGAGTCCTGCCCTTGAGGTCGCAACCCCAATTTTGCACCATCCATTTAGCCCTGAACTCATTTAGCTTCTCATTTTCGGAGCGAACGACCAGGGCACAGAACCTTTGGTCCCTCAAAACCAACCGGACCTAGACTTGGATTCCAAGGTAAAGGACCTACCATGGCTGGTAGTTTAATTTTGGGTCCTGGTCCCTGGGAAACATCCCGGCACCCAACCCAGAAGGAGTCCTGGAAGGTACTGCTCCTCTCCGGGTTGTAGCTGCCCTCGCTGGCGGTGCCGCAGCCTTCGCAGCCCTCAGCAAAGATGACCAGCTCGTAGGAGCCCGTGTCGAGGATGGCCTGCACATCCTGTGAAAAAATCCGAGGCACGAAAGCCATAAAAAGCCGCAAAAATCCCCTCAATAGCAACCAAAAGGGGACGTTTACAACCTGTACCCACCCGCTAAGATGGAACCTGCCCATTGACCCTGGGTGGTTACAATTTACCTTCTGGTTCGTGCTGCATGAGGCAAGGTCAAAATTATGTCAGGGTTTCTCAAAATCGTGTCTCCTAAAATTGCAGTTGTCCGTTTGGTTTCCCTTTAAATACCAACCCAAAGGGATCCATAATTTTGAGACGCACTAATTTGTTTCCCCAAGAGGACATGGGAAGATCAGGGCTCGTCCTGTGTGGAAGATCGAGCTCGTCGCCCCATGACCCTCCCAGCCCGTCCTGTTGGCCACACCTCACCAACGCGCTGTAGGTGGTATCCCCCTCGTTCCGCAGCTCCTAGGTGACACACTCGACAAAAAATGAGCAGCGCCCAAAACCCATCGACCTTTGATGCCACCCACATCGGTGCAGAAGTTTGTGTTCATTATCCATAACCGTCCATAAACGTGGTTGTAGAAACCTGCTATAATGTGCAATGGTGGTTTTGGGCACTGCTCGAATGGAAGCCATGGACACACAGAACGGCGATTTTAATCCGAAGCACGCGTATACCTGAAAAAAGAAGGAAAAACCCATCTTAACATAAGCCCAGGTGGCATCCCCAACAGCAACCCCCGGAACTACACTATCCACCCATGCCCATCATAAAAAGGAATCCAAAAGAAACAAACGAGCACCTAGAGAGGCCCACAAGGGCAAATCTCAGACAGCTCATATGGCTACCCATTTATAAAACACGGCTGTAGAAAGCCTCTTGTTCCTTTTCATCTTCGCCCCCAAAGCCGCACACACAAGTGCCAGAGCGGATTGTTTAGAGTCAGATGTGGCCTTTTGATCCTTGGTAGAATTCCCCCTGATTTTTGATCCACCCCAAGCATTCCCCTGAAAGAAGAACCGAGCACCGCTTTCTCCTGTGCAACGCAGCGCTTCCGTGCCCCGCCTGGTGGTACCGCTGCTGCAACCGGAGCCGCGTTTGAAGCAGCTCCACACACACCTCCTCCGCCAGCGCCCACGGAAGTAACCCGAGCAGTCGGAACATCAGTTTCAGACTCCGGCGCTCGATTCAGCTGGTCGAACTGCTCGGTGGCGGTCGAAAAGTCTGCCACCGGATGCAGCTGGTTTTGTTCCAGCTGGCGTTCCTCCAAAAAGAGGCTGATGGAGAGGGCAGGGTGGGTCTTCCCTAAGCCCTGAGCCGATTGCAGCTGCAGACGTGTCCAAGCGACACCATTTGAGTGGTGGTTGGTTTTCCCTTACAGTTGACTGGACGGAAGGGGCAAAACCTTCCGCAACCTTTTACGAAGCTTCCGCGTGAAGGGCACCTTCTGCGAGCACATTTCTATATGGCCTTCCGCGGGCAAGTTGGTTCTGGAAAGTTGGAAGGTAGCTGCCGCTCTACAAGTGTGGCTCTTGGGGTCGCCCTTACACAAACCTTCTGCGAGAAAAACACAGATATTGTAGAATCTGGCCTTTCTGATTGGAACCTCGCGCAGCTCTTCGTGCCTTTTCATGCCCTCAAAGCAAACGCAACAGCACAAAGCAATTCTGGAAAGAGCAGGGGAAGAAAACCGTCCGCAAACCTTCCGCGAGGGTCGTCCCTCCCTGTTGCCCCCTTTCAAGGTCCATGATATACCAACTACATTGGTTTCTATGGCTTTCCCATGGACACAAGCTCCACAAAGGCCGGAGCGGGGCTGCCTCTGTTTGAGGGTACCCTTTTTAGAGGGAAACCGAAACGCACTTTTTGGTCCAACTGTTTTGAGGCGCACCCATGTCCGTTTTGGAAGCTGAGGGATTCAAAGGACCATCTTACTCCGCTGCAGATGGACACCTAGGTTCCTTTTTGTTCATATGTCCACGTCTACACACTTTTGCCTGAGCCGGAAAAAGAAAACACCACTCATTTGCTTGTGCCTTTTCGCCAGTTCCCCGGCTCCTTGGTGACAAGGGTTGGCATGGCTCATTGATCAGGAAGAATATCGGGGCCAGGGGTCGTTTGCCAATCTTGCTGGGTCTACTTTGCCCTGTTGCCACTCTCAGGGAGACAGCTCCTCTCAGAATGCTCAGGCAGGATGGGAAACACTCCGCACTATAGGAAAGAATCATCACGGTCTCCTGATACCAGGAAACTTGCAGGGATCCTGCACTCACAAGTCTGGACATGGCCGTGGAAAAAAACCTTGCTGTCATGCCAAGGGATTTGCACCCCCATGACTACTTCATTTGAAAGGGCATTGAATAGTGGGCTTGCACCCAAAGCAGCCCTAAAGAAAACGTGTCCCAACCCAGACCCTAGATCCTACTCCTGAGATCCGATCCGGGGGATTGGATCATGTGGCAACGGCTCGCAGTTCCCTTCCCCCTTCGGAGTTTGGTTGAGTAAAAGGGGCATCCCCGGTGTTTGTCGGCCCACCAATTGGCCCCAAAGCGGAAGACCGGCGAAGCGGGGCCCAGCCTTCGCACCCCGAGAAGCCCAGCTCGGCGAAGGAGGAGATGCTGGTCAGCAGCGTGGCCTGGGCGCAGCTCCCTCCGGGCTACTTGCACCGGCGACCTGGGGCTGAAGGACCAGCTAATCACGCGTGGTGCGCATCCGCCTGGGCATCACCTACAAACTCGCTCTCTCTCTCTCTCTCTCTCAAACACAGTAGCTCTACTTCATGGAATATGACTTGCGGTTGAATATCAGGTGCTGGTGACGTCTACGGGCATCACCTACAACACTGTTCGAAGACCGAAAAGGGGACCTTGCAAAAGGAGCCTTCATCAACCTCGCCACCCCCCAAAACAGGGCGTCGCACAAAAATTTGGCTCATAGCAATCCAAGCAAACTGACGACGAAAAGCCGAGAGCACGGAAATCAACCCAAACCGTGCCCAAAAATGAATAGATCAAAATCTCCCGTGCCTGGTGCAGCTGGGCGAAGCTGTCCGCCTTCATGGCTTGGGTTGCCTGCTCCTGCGCGCTTCCTTCAATGAGTTCCTAAGCCTCTTTGAGGCGGCCATGCCATGCCATGCGGGCGAGTGGCACACTTTCACGCGGTCATTTTTGTTGCCGGGGCCCCCAAAAGCCTAAAAGGTTGGCCCAAAAAAGCAAACACTTTGACTCCTAGAGCACTTCCACCCTCACCAAACTACCAAAAACCCAACAGAAATGGGGTTTCCACCCTGTGCTAAGTGGCTGTATAGTCGCTGTATATCCAATTAAACTCCCAAAAATCGCGGTTGGGGGTACGAACCATCTTAGACGTGGGTTACTCCCGTTTGCGTTACCTATTCTGAAATGGGTCACCACATTGGAAGTATAGTGGCTCGTCCCAGCCCAAATCCCAAATTGACAGACCAAACAGGAGATGTTGACCACGAAACGAAACTCATCTAAATGTCTGTATGTGTGTCCCCAATGTTGGATTTGGGATCGAAGTAGAGGGGTCCATAATCTTGACACACACACACACTTGCCAAATAAACGTCTCCTTGGAGGTTGTCTTGGTGTGTCTGTTTGTTGAGGGTACCCTGTTTTGGGTGAGGGTAAAGGGAAACCAAAGGGCAACCACGCGTTTTGAGGCGTACCCTACCTGAGTGTCTGCCCGGAAAATCGATGAATTCCTCCGAGAAGTGGATTGAATTGGACTTCAACCAGTGGAATCCATCCCAACCAACGAAAAAGGCACATATGATAGGAGGAATCGTTAGTTCTTGGAGTTTTATACTTAAACATATTCCGATTGAGTTAGGCAATCTTCTACGGACACCTCCCTTTCACGAAACGTGAAACCTTTCTTTTAGCGAACCTGTTGCTTCCGTCGGGTTGCCTGTAGGAAGGTGTTCTCTTTTCGGGAAACTTAGGGAATGCCTCCCCATAGGGAATCATCCCTGGGTGTTTCCTTTCGGCGTCTGCCTTTGGTTTCTCTTTTCTAAGCAAGGGGAGTGCATGGAATGCATTGGCCGGCAGTGTTTAGAGTTGCTTTTTTCCAGACATCCCACAATGGTTGTTTCGGACTGGTGACGCCACTGGCTTCAAGGATAAGGATGGATGTTTCAACAATAAGTTGGAGCCTGGCTGGCGCGCTCGGACGCCGAAAAGCCGAGGATTGGCCCTACCCAAGTTGCAGACGTTGCAACGAAATTGCCACAGGCCAAAACAAAAGGCAGCCCTGGAAGATGCATGGGCAGAATCTAGATGTCAATCAACATGCCCAAAGCTGCAAGTGCCACTCCACATGTTTGTTGCGCGCAAGCCCCTTTTAGTCTGATTCCCGGACTAATCCATTTGGCTGATTTTCGAATTGGGGGTGTCCCACGTTTCTGGGTGACACCCCCCAACTAAAAGACCGAGGGTGGCTTTCAGTACCCGCCTGCGCGCGCGTGTGCACGGAGAACTTCTCTTTCACCGAGGCCTCGTATCGACACAAAGTGTCTTGGTTGCTGGCTGTTGACCCTGCAAAAAGGGCTTAACTCGTGGGTCCAATGGAAAGTCCAGCCAAAAAGTTGCTAAAGTCCAAACATGCAACCAAATAGGCATAAAGAAGTCCAGTCAACATTTGCAATCTGAATGCTGGCAATTGAACTGCTGGGTTGTGCGTTGAAGCGATGGGTACTTTCACTGGATTTTGATGTGTTGGGGCCTGCAAGCGGGTGCCGGTGTTCAAACTCACTTCTCAAGATTCTGGGCCTAAACTTTTTGGCCATTTTAGCAAGCTGGGTCATTGGGACACAAAGCTGCCCGCACCATTCCAGCACTCGAACTCGCTGACTCCAAATTTCCACCAAGGCAGCAAAGGTTTACACCGGTCCTCACTCACAAAGCAAGTAGAGCCTGTTGTTGAGTCCTTTAGGAATCCTTCGAATCCAAAAAGCCCATGGATATCTTGGAACCACCAATCACAAGTGGTTGACATGAATCCCATGTTCACCAAAGGGTCCCTTTCCCAAACTCACGACATAAACTTTGACCTT